ATATAGAGAAAATAAGAAGAGGGAAAAGTAAACAATGAGTAGATGATTAGAGATGACAAGGTTTCAATTTCCAAGAACCCATTTAGGATACACAAGTTGTAATCATCAATTGCAATAAAACAGAAACTGGACAGATTATTACAACTAGAAGAAAATGAGCAAAAATATAAGGTTGGGTTATTATGATTCCTTGTCTTCTTTTTTAAGATCTTGTTAAATCATTGAAACTCTTTTTTAGTGATATTTATTTTGTTTCCAGAGAATCTCCTACAGAACTGAGGATGTTAAAACACAGAAACACGTGACAACTTTTGCCAATTTTTATTTTAAAATTAACTAAACTTTATATCAATGCAGTTTGGCCTTTAGCTAATTAACTAGGGCTTCTGTTTTCTGTTCTCAATGTTATCGCGCATATGATCAAATAGAGAAACAAAGTAGATTGAGATTTAAATATGGTTGTTGAACTTGAACCACTAAGTAAAGGAATAAATTATTGAAGAGAATGGTAGTTTCTAATGAAAGTGTGTTCAGTCGAGCTGTTAGTCAATGAACACCTCTCAAAGTGAACATATGTACATCTAATTTCCATATATCTAAGCGATGAAAAGTATTCAGTTTGATTAAATTAATTTATTCGAATTGAAGTGAGCCAAAGAAACTAATCTGAGATAACCGATCCAAAAACGAACAATATATATTTTACTACTGTATGGTGTAACATATTCATTTTCTATGTATTGGGAAACTGAACGCAAATCCCAATCAAACCGAACAAAGCAAACAAATCTGATCTAAACATAAGAAACTGCGGAATACTAAAAAAAAAAAAAAACTGCAGAAAATGTTACTTTTAAAAATGTGGATTTTAAAACAAATCTGTTCCTGAACACCATATACAACATACTATTTATCATGTGGATTTTAAAAAATGAGAGTGACCTTAAGGTTAGTTTTGGGTGGAAAATATGTGGTTTATGCCAAAGAGGATTGAGGTTTGAGAAAAATCATTTGACCATCGTGTGGACAAAATTTAGTTTGTAAAATTTTAAATTCTTTTGCCTTCATTAATTTTTTATTGAATCCCTTTTATACTTTAACAACTACCGGATTTTCTCAAATTAGTATAATTTATTATGCAAATTATGAAAACAAAAAGTATAGATTAGAATGATACAAAGTCGTGGATAGGTAGTCAATTCTATTATGAAAACTATATGCATACTAGCACAGTTACGTATAAGAATCCTCTATGCATGTTTCCAGCAATAAATATAAATTAAATCACACACTATATTTTTTCCCATTAATATAATTGACTCGTATATGCATAATAATAACTGACCATTGGAGGATAATTACTTAATTATTTTGAAAGTGACATAAGAATATTTTTTATCTGTCAACTCAACTCTTTGCTATCAGATTTGTATACACAACAAAGATTTGTTTTGTAGCTTTCGAGTAAGAATTTTAAAAAGATCATTATCTATGAATAAGAATCGATTAACAAGAGTATGTAATCTTTGTTTGTTATCTATGACTCATTATTACATTTTTCCACCCTCCATATAATATTTTGATAGATTCTATATTTATAAGATACGATATTAAACCAAACTCAAACGAAATTATCCAAAAAAATAAATAAATCCACAAATATCACCTCTACTCAAACCAACTTAAGAAATTTGTAGTCGCTATGCATGTTATACATTATACCTGGATATATTGCATTTAGAAGAATTTAGGGGGTGATATTCAATTCAAGAATTTAGTTGATTTTGAAAGAATTGAACATTCTATCAAATTCTATTGTTATTCAATTGTCTATTTTATGAATGCTTTTAAATTCTTATGTTATTTAATGTATTAGAATCTTAATTCTGTTAAAAACTAGTGTTATTCAATTTTATTGCAGTATTCAAAATATTGTCATTTAAAAGAAATTTAATAGAATTCTAATAAAAAAATTGTGAAGAACCAATTCCCACCTATTTTGCTGGGATTTCGATGGATTCCCTAAAATAAGGCAAAATCTATTAATTTCCAATTCTTCTAAATTCTTCAATTACTATTCTTTGCTTAAGATACAAAAACAAAGAGATTAATTTAGTGGTGGTTAAAGAATCATAATTAGTTAGACCCACACACTAAAAGCGAACTAGAAAACACAAACCCAATTAATAAATGCGAAACTAAAAAAGAGTAACGCCAACAGGACGTCGCCA